TCCATTCTTCTTTATATTTTTCAAGGTACTGCCTCTGTTTTGTTTTGGGTTTTTTTTGTCTTATTATTAACAGATTTATTTGGTAACCAAACGTTTTGACCCATTTTTTTCTTTCTCAGCATGCTTTCCAATTTTTCTTCCTCTCCTGGAGTGCCTGGGTGTCTCCTTGTTCCCCAAGTCTTCTACCGCTTTCTTAAAGTCAGTTGCGGAGAAGGTCAAAGCCGAACGCATCAGCTCGTCCAAGGTTTGGACAAACACAAGCTCAGTATCGTCATAAATATAGTCTTGTCTCGCAGCTCATCGAATGCTTAGCTACAATGAAACTTGCAGAAATCCAGTTGAGAAACCACTAACAGATGACTGAAACAATCTCACCTCATGACCTGTTTACATGTTTTAGTCACATCGTGTGACCTTGATTGTTAAAGAGAAATATCCAAATATGCCTACCAAATCTCCTGTGATCTCAACATGGTGTGCAACACATGCCGCACATATAAAAAGAACACCAGAAGATGCGAGGTTTCAAATTTCCTAAAGAGAATTATTGGCGCCAATTCTTAAACTCATATTCCCTGATTTTAGTTTTATGGTAAATCATTTTTATGTGTGTGTTTGAGGTTCACCTTCACATGCGGGCATTGTTTTAAGTGCTTGTTCAGATATGATGTAAAAGTCATTTAATCAGATATGTTTTCGTATGACCTGTTTTAGGCTTCAGATGATATGCTTCAGCATTTGATCAAGTCTCAGACACCCAGTGAAAATGACAAAGAAAAGAAGCATAAGGGTAAAAACATCACTACACGTGGAGTCCCTGTGGTCACATCTATGCACATCAGATGTCTCATGCCTTCTTCTGTTGTTCCTAACAGGTCTTACTGAACACGAGATAATTTCCCAAGTGACCATGTTTGTGTTTGCTGGCTACGAGACGAGTGCCATCGCTCTTGTTTTTTTAGCGTACAGTTTGGCACGAAATCCTGAAATCATGAAACGCCTTCAAAGTGAAATAGACTCCACTTTCCCAAACAAGGTAGAATCAAAGTTTCTGATTATGAAGTTGTTTTCTTAATATTATTTGATGAAAACATTAAATCAGAGCTGTCTTTAACCAAAATTGTGATTTGTAACAACCTTATAGGGTCCAGTTGAGTACGAAGCTCTGATGCAGATGGAGTACCTGGACAGTGTGGTCAGTGAGTGTCTGAGGTAATGAGCTTTTACTTGTGCTTGCTGAAAAAATATACACTATGAGACCGCATGGTGACAAAGAAAGAGAAGTGAAAGGGTGGAATTAGATGAAGGTGTGATAATGGACAAAAAAAGAAGAAGAAAAAACCTGGGTATACCACAGGTCAGGGGAGCCATAGTGAAGATAGAGGCTCACAGAGGCTGTGATCCAAGCAGCACAGGCAACAGGCCTGTAGGAGCGTACCACAGCCAATAGGACCGGAGTTACAGGCTGTGTAAATGTGTGATTGAAGACAGTCCAGCACATACTTGCAGGTTGTGAGAGGGCATGCAAGCTGGGACATTGCACATGGATTGCATATACACCAGCATACAAGAATAATTTAAAAAAATTCCCACCTAGTGAAAAAACATATACTCATACCACATCAATCCAAATGCCAGTAGGAGTGCTTGTGATTGCATGCTTAGTGAAATACAGACATTTAAAAAGTATTCCCATTTTGTCAACAGGCTGTACCCCTCAATTCCACGTCTGGAACGAGTGGCTAAGGAAACTATAAAAATCAGTGAAATCACAATCCCTAAAGGCATGCTTGTTATGGTTCCAGTCTACGCTCTGCACCGTGACCCGGAGCTGTGGCCAGAGCCAGAGGAGTTCAAACCTGACAGGTAGTTAGCAACTTATCTTAGCAAGTTAGCAATTTAGTTAGCAATTTATCTTATCGTTCTGAAGATAAATAGCAACAATTCTGCAAAGCTACTTATCATTTACTAAAGTCATGCCAACAAGGAATTTCCAAGTACAGCCTTTCTCACTACTGGGGATTCTGAGGGATGTTGAGGGTTGTTTACTCATGCAGTCATTCACTTCCAAGATTAACCCTGTAAAACTTAAAACAACTAAATAATCCACTGAAAGTTACATTTCAAACAATTCAGTTTTTATTGAACCTTCTAAACAAATGTATTAATTCATAAATAACAGTTTGCACATTTGTACCGTAGTTTAATATCATTTTTGCTACATCTGGCATTTTTATGCAATTTCTTTCTCACAGTAGGCCTGTGTCAGGTTACTTAGGAATAAATAAATCACACACAAAAACACGATATGCTTGGCATTACAACATTAAGCATATTTTCTTTTGTAAATATCTTTGTATTATATTTTAAAGGACATGTTATTAGGGCAGCATTTAAACACTTCTGTTATATGATTCTATTAATCAATTAAAAGCAGTCATAGCAGGCAGAAAAAAATCATATAAATTGTGGGTATTTGACATATTTTTTCCATTTGTTTTACAGATTTAGTAAAGAAAACAAGCAGAACATCAACCCGTATTCTTACCTTCCATTTGGGGCTGGGCCAAGGAGCTGCATGGGGACGCGATTTGCTCTAATGATGGTTAAACTGGCCATGGTGGAAGTTTTGCAGAACTTCAGCTTCTCAGTCTGCAAAGAAACAGAGGTGACTGTGTGTAAATTGCAAACTTAGCTTGACATCATTTCCTTCGTGCAATAAGAAAACAACATTTGCTGTCAAAAACTGATGTTTCTAATTTAGTGAATTTGTTCGTTCCTCAGATCCCCTTAGAGATGGATGTTGCAGGCTTTGTCTCTCCGGTTCGACCAATCAAACTAAAGCTGAAGATGCGTTCCATCAGCTCAGCAAATGTGGATCCATGTAAATAGAAAGCGCTCAGAGATTTAATATGCAAGAAAAACTCTGGGTATGAAAATACCAATTTAATATATTTTATTAATGATCATCTACTCATTTCTTGTCAGTTGGTTAGCATTTAAAAAAGCAGTGAATAATCACTAATCACTGACATGTCACATCATTAAGAAGTAATGACACAGAGTGCCTCACTAACATACAGAAAAAGGTGGAAGATTTACATAAATATTTGGAAAGAGACAACTTTTTAAAATAATTTTGTTTCTGTACATTACCATGATACATTTTAAACGAAACAACTGAGATGCAGTTGAAGGGCAGACTTTCACCTTTAATTCAGTGGGTTGAACAAAAAGATTGTGTAAAAGTGTGAGCAACTAAAGTATACTTTAACACAATCCAATCATGTCAGGAGCTCAAAAGTGATTGGACTAATTAAATAAGTGAAAATACAATGTTCATTTCTAATACTTGGTTGAAAACCCTTTGCTGGTAATGACAGCCTGAAGTCTTGAACTCTGATGCTGGGTTTCCTCTTTTTTAATGCACCACCAGGCCTTTACTGCAGCGGCTTTCGGCTGCTGTTTATTTGGTAGACTTGGATATCTCCCTGGAGAGTGTTGTTCACTTGCTGGTTGTTTTCAAGGGGTTTCTCTAGGAAATGATTCTGCGATTATCCACCACTGTTGGCTTCTGTTGATGTCCAGGTCTTTTGGTATTGCTGAGTTCATCAGTGCTTCCTTTGTTTCTCAGGATGTACCAAAGTGCAGATTTTGCCATTCCCAATATTGTAGGATTTGTCAGCTTCACAGCTTAAGGATGGCTTGTTTCACTTGCACGGAGAGCTCCTTTGACCTCATGTTGTCTCTTCACAGCAAAATCTTCCAAATGCAAGCGAGACACCTCAAATCAACTCCAGACCTTTTGTTTGTTTGATTGATACTGACACCACGAAGGAATTGCCCACACCTGCTCATTAAATAGCCTTTGAGTTAATTGTCCAAAACAAACAAAATCACAGATCTATAATGAAAGGGTCATGGATGAAGGCTTAATTTAAAGGCTTTAATTTTATACATGTTAAATTACTCTTTCGTTGGAAAAGTGATACATAAACATATTTGGGAGACAGCATCTCTTCACTGTGAGAGCTCTAAAAAAGCCGAGAGAGTGAGAGTGGAAGAGAGTGGGTGTGGATGCTGCTTATCTTCCTGGAGGAGCATTTTTCATTTGTTTTATTCTTATTAACCCTGCTGTTCATTAATAAACTATTCTTGCAACAGATACAGCTCATCCTCTGTGGTTTTCTTTGAGTGCATTTTCCTAAGTCAACTAAACACAAGCTGATTGAGAGGCTCAGGCTTTCCAGCCCAAAGCTTTAGACACAACTCAAACAGATGACCAGAAGACACAAAGACACTTTTCCAGTGAATGAACACCCTTTTCTATTTAAATTCAAAAACTCAGGTATCTGAGCCAAAAGCCAAAATGACTGTAACGTGATTACATGTAGACATGATCCACGAAATGAAGCTTATGCATAAATTCAATAAGGAAGCTCTGTAATCAGCCATCTGGCTGTTTCATGGGTGTTAGTCTGCTTTTCTGTTCTCTGCAGCTCTGTGACTTTCCCACGCTGTCAATCTCAGTAGCGTTATCATTACTCTGGTCCAATTCTGTCATGATGGGTGCTTGGAGTCCAATTGGCAAATACATTAATTCCCTAATCTCCATAAATCATGTTCAAATCCTCCAAGTTGATCTCTCCTTATTGAGCTGCAACAAAAAAGTGGTGGCGCTCCGAGAGGATATGAAAACAAAACACCCGAGAAGTGATGTGACGTTTGTAATCAGCTCTTTGGAGAATTAAAGGTTATAATGCAACATAATACTGTAAAGCTTTGTGGTCTAATCATGGTGTATTTTAGTTACCGGCAACCTTGGAACCAATCTTTGAAGGTTGCCGGTTCGAGCCCCGGCTCGGACAGTCTTGGTCGTTGTGTCCTTGGGCAAGACACTTCACCCGTTGCCTACTGGTGGTGGTCAGAGGGCCCGGTGGCGCCAGTGTCCGGCAGCCTCGCCTCTGTCAGTGCGCCCCAGAGCGGCTGTGGCTACAATGTAGCTTGCCATCACCGGTGTGTGAATGCGTGGATGACTGGATATGTAAAGCGCTTTGGGGTCCTTAGGGACTAGTAAAGCGCTATATAAATACAGGCCATTTACCAGAGAAATATGATTGTGCCCTTTTCAGATTTTATAGATTTCAGCTATTTCCAGGATCCCGTAACATCTTATCTTGTTCATATACGACTTTGCATTTCCTCCTCTCACCCCAAACCAATCTAGCCAATGGCAGCCCTCCATGAGCTTGGAGGTTTCCACTTGTTAAAAGGAAGTTTTTCCGTCCCACTGTCACCAAGTGCTTGCTTGTCTGATTATTGGGATTTTCCCCTGATTGTTGTTGTAATTTGGTGATATATAACTAAAACTGAATTGAAGTGAATTGAATTGATACATGCTTTAGACAAAAATAGAAATTGTTGATTATTCTTTACAATACGTTGTCATAAACTCTTTGCCCATACTAAACAATGACCGTCCACAAGGGCCAAATGCCTGACTGCTACGTTTTTGTCTTTACTGGATCTATGTTAACGCTTTAAAGCCTAAACCATGAAATAATTGCCAGAAAATTCAAAAAAGAAATTAAATAGAGTGTTTAGTGCACCTGCAGACAAAATAAGGTAGTACAAAAACTGACATGGTGTTTATGTACACAAGAAGCATCAAGATTAAAATGAAGAAAAGTCATCTTCTTAGACGAGGAGGGTTAAGAACGTGGCACCAGCTTCAGTTTGATTGGTCGTTTTGGTTGTAGCAGACCCTGGATGTCCAGCTCAATGGGGATCTGCAGAGAAGTGGCATGTAGGATAAATGACAATAACACACAAAACTAACAGTCAGAGAAGATGATCTGGGCTCTCACCTCGGTCTCCTTACACACAGAGAAGCTGTACCTCTGGAGGATCTCCACTATTGCAAGTTTCATCACAACCAGAGCAAATCGCATCCCAATGCAGTTCCTCGGGCCTGCTCCAAAAGGCATGTAGCTGTACGGATCAATTGTCTCCTTGTTTTCCTTGCTGAACCTGAGAACACACACACACACACACATGCACACACACACAGTATATTAACAACAGAAACTGGGATATATCCCACAGAGCTTCATTCTGCTTTGTCACATCAGACACCTTTCCGTACCTCTCAGGTTTGAATTTCTCTGGTTCAGGCCAAATCTCGGGGTCCCGGTGCATCGGCCAGGTGGGTACCATGACAACCATACCTTTTGGAATCACAAAGCCGTTTATCTCCACACTGGCCTTGGCCACACGCTCCAAACGTGAAGCAATGGGGAACAATCGGAGAGACTCGTTGATGACACAGTCGAGATACTCCATCTGCATTAGTTCCTGGTACTGGATGGGAGCCTGAAGACAAGCACATAAACATGACTGATGATAGAGACATAGTAAGAAGCTGAACCCTGTGCTGATTTTATATATGACTACAATATATAAAATAATATAATCACCATAACACAATATTATTCTAACACATTATATCTACTGTATGATTTACTTTAGTCTAGTTATGCTAGAAAGAAATATATTGTCTTATATTAAGAATTCTGTGTTGTTACCTTGTTAGGGAAGGTTGCATCCACCTCCTCCTGCAGCTTTTTCATCACCTGAGGGTTTGTTGCCAAATTGTAAGACAAGAAAGTGAGAGAGCTGCTGGTCGTTTCGTAGCCAGCAAAGAGGAAAATCATTGCTTGGGAAAGGATCTCATGATCTGTCAGACCTGAGGAGGTAGGAGGGATATACACGTTAGAACAGCTTTAAGCTGGTTTTTCCATGTGTGGAGACGTGTGTCCGTGTATCACCTTTATCCTGTTTGGAATTATTATTTTGCTGAGAGTCGATCATTAGCTGGAGGAAGTCCACTCGAGGCTGGAAGTCAACAAACACAGTCTGAGAACAGCTGTGATTTTATGTCAGAGCAGGTTATTGGTACAAACACAAACTCACAGCCGTACCTTTTGTTTGCTGGTCTCTCGATCAATCTTGATCTTCTGTAGTGCAGCGTAAAAGAAGTCTGTGACAGATGCAGGGAAAAAGGAAAACTCCAATTTTTCCAATATGGGAATCATGAAGGGAAAGACGGCTGAAATTAAACAAACAAGAGGACATTTATTAATGGAAGATGAAGGACAGCAGCTGCATTGATGGACATGTTGTAGTGGTGCCCAGTTTGATCCCAGGAGGAGACACAAATCCTCACCAGGAAAAAATCTGCCAAAACAAACATGCAGAGCTACAAGCCAAGGTAAACACTTGTTGAATAACGGGAGCAGTCAAAAGGAGCTTCATGTATCAAAATGAATATTTTACCAATAGTGAGGACGATGGGGCTGAAAAGGTCAAATTTCAGCATCTTTTTGATGTTCGTGACAAAAGGATCTGAGGGGTTGTTGAGAGAGTCGATGTCCACACTGAAGGCGGTGCTGGTTACCACATCCATACTGTAGGGTCCGAAAAACCTGCAAAACCACACAAACACATCAAACATGACCTTTATTATTGCAGACTTAGAAGAGGTGAATCTGCGCTTTTTCTGATGTATTTAAATGAAAACAGTATGAGAGTTCTCACTCTTTCAGCTCTAGAGGTTCATCTTTATCTGCTTTCTTTTTCATGCTGCTGATCAGGACAGCTGAATGCTGCTTCATGATGTCAAACATCTGAGGCACAAACAGACAAAAAACAACAACGTCAAAAATGTTGAAACCGGATGCAATTACAACAGCACAGAGTATATATTGGGACTTCCAGGCCATACTCGGCACAGATGTTTCTGTATACTATGCAGACTTGGTTATGGCGTTCCATGAATGCCCTGCCTGCTAGCATCTTGCACCCTGCCATCATGAGCTGGACTGTCTGAGGGGCATCTTTACACAGCCTGCACCTGGGGCCTTGTCTGGTGTGATAGACCCCAGCCTCTATGGATCTTGTGCTCAGAGCTTGTTCCTCTGCTGCCATGATTAGTGCCTCTGTGCTGTCTTTCAGTCCAGCTTTGTCCAGCCACTGGTAGGACTTCTATCTGCCGGTGGTACATACCATGCAGGAGCCTGTCCTTCCATGATGGTTCCTCGTCTTACTCCTCTTTCCCAGGTTTCTGCTCCCTGAGGTATTCACTGATGCTTCAGTAGGGGCCATCTTCCTGATGTATTCATGGCTGTTCATTGTCTCATCCTGGACTGCCCCCTTCCTTCTGCTTAGCGTACAGCCTCAGGTTGCCCGACTTGGGGTGAGTCATAGGCCTTCTTGTAATCAATCCAGGCAGTGCACAGGTTGGTCAGCCTAGTCTTGCATGATTCTTGATGAAGAAGGTGCCTAAGAAGCACAACAAGCTGCCCATACCTGAGGCCTTGCAAACTGCCAAGTAAAGACTCATAGCCTTGGCTAGTGCCTTGAAGAGGTATACCAGAGATAGAAGGCAGGAGAATAAATCAGCTGTAATCCACTGAGCCATTCAAGGTGTACTCTCAGTGGCAAGGGAACAATATGAGAACAGCCCCACCAAGGCTGGGGATGGAGCAATACTGGAAGAGTATATAGTACTTTCAATCTACAGAGATCTACAGAGATATGCAGACTATACAGTATATTTATGTTACTTAATTTTTATCCACCACATGAGGGAGTATTATTGCCAGCATTATGTTATGCTTGGATAATGACAATAAAGAAACTTGAATCTTGATGCTATGTTTACCTTTTTAAGTGAATGCTTTTTGCTTCTTTTGTTTTTCAGCATGCAAAAAAAAAAAAATGCCAGAGGAGGCAGAGAGTGGGAGAGGGATGTACCTCTTTTAGTCTCCCAGAGGTGAAGGAGGGAGAAAGGACGCTGCGGATCCTCCTCCACTGATCATCCTCTGCAACTGTCACAGCATCGTACAGCGGCCCATTCAGACGGAAATTCTGTAATAACATTCAAAGCAGCTTGTGATGATGACAGAAGGTCAGATTTTTTAAAAAAGAGACTGATTGAGTCGTATAATGTCCTTACTAACCCTGCGGTTTGTGAAGAAAGAGTAACACTCCTTTATCAGGATAGTTTTTATCATAGCGGGATCAGTGATACACAACACGGGCTGACGGCCATCAAAAATGCTGCGTACCATGACAGTAGAAGAAACAAGAAATAAAACAACTGAACATGCGAACAAGTAAAAGTAATACATTTTTCACTTTCACACAGGTCTGCATGATTATTATTTACATCCATAGAAAAGCAGTCATGTACTGTAGACAACATAACTTACCCCCACATTTTCCCATATTTCTTATGACACTCTTCATCAAAGTTAAAAAATCCCTGGAAATAAGAACGAGATATACGGATGATTAATGAAACTTACCAAAAACACAGGTCACGTTTAACAAAGTAGAGACATTACAGGCATAACAGCATCAGTGACGTTAACTTCTAATGATACTGAAGTAACGTTGTGAGGTTTTCTACTTCCTGAGTTAACTAGTTAATCCAGATGTCTCAGTGCTTTAATCAAAAGTCCGTCACAAGCTACTCAGATATTATTGCTTAAGAGTGCTTGTTGTTGTGTACAGCAGCCAGTTTGCATGTTTCATGCCATACAAATGTGTTTGACAACAGGTGCCTAACATTTAGAGGGGTCAGGGTGAAAGGGTCTTTCATGACCTGAAAATAACTGTACAAAACAACAGCTAAATAAAAAAAACTACACTATTCAAATATGATTGTAGTTGAAAAACCAATGAGCTATTGGAAGACATTGTCCTCGGTGTATACAGTGTAGGCTGGTATCGTAACCCACCTTTCTATATGCCAACATGGTGCCAAAAAATGGGATAGGTGAGGGCCCAGGGACGCCTAATCTCTTAAATGTCCCATATGTCCAGCAGGAATACCTGGAACAGGTGTAAGAGATTTAAAAAAGCAGCAAAAATAGTACAAATATCTGAACACATCCAGTAATCTTTAAAACGTACACAAACAGCAGCGTGACGAGGGCAGCCAGCAGGGTCCATGTCTCTGCGGACAAGAAGAAGAAGTACCCCATGTCTGCAACGTTCCTCTCTTCTCTCAGCGATAACACAAACCTATGTGACGAGAGGCTTTTGTCTCCTGCTGCACATACCTGTTCTGTGAGTAAGGAAGGGGCGTTGGAGCCGATCCAATGGCAGGAGGAAGCATAAACAGAGACAGAGCTCGAGGAGCATTTACTGTGTATCAGCTAGTTTGATTAGCTCTGCCATGTGTAGTACTGCAGTCTTCATCATTTGTTATTGTACAGCTTGGATTAAAAAAGAAAGAAACCAGCTTGGATTAGCATATAGGTTTTTCTTCTCCTACACAAGAACTGAATGTTTTTCACATCGTAGTTTCTTGAAAAAGTGTATGATTCAAACACCAAACATCAAGTCATTCAGCACGCTATCAGTCAGACTGTTTTATGTATACATGCTTAATTCCATGCTGTGCTCACAGAAAAGCATGTCCAGACGTGCTCGGTGCTTTCTGTTGGTGGCAGAAAATGCTTTCACTGCTTCTTCCCAGTATGTGCTCACAGCACAGAAAGAGAAAAGAGGCTGAAGAGTTTTCTTATTCTTATTCGTACCAAGGGTAGGTGCACAGTTTTGCTAAACCAGTGACAAAGATACTTCTGAGCCCCTGAAACAAGAGCCATGAAGTGGTTACAGGAAGAGGGTGACAGATGAAACAATTTTAAACAAGAAGCACTCCCAGAGCGCAAACCTCCACCAAGGCAGCTCACTCTCTAGACAGTATTTACTTTTCAAGGACAGTACTTTATTGTCTGTATATTCATTTTGTCTCATTTGTTCTTTTTAAAAGCACTTTAAGAAGTTTTTTTTTGTGTAGTTTAATATCAGATAAGGCAAGGATGATAGATGTTTAGTTTGATTACACAAACATCATGTAGGTTGGACGAATAACAGCTATTGATTTGGTAATAACTTTATATGAATAGCCTAAGCTTTTTATATAGCTTGTTATATAATATTATACTTCAGTGTATTTCTAACTAGGAAGCTCTTTCAATACTTTCTTTAAAGGCATATGTTGGACATTTTAGAGTCATCTTGAAATAAAGGCAAATGTAAATGTAAAAGTGAGGTCAGATATTATATATTTGGATGCAAACTATAATGTGATATTTACAATCCCAATGTACCAGGATCACTTTCTAAAAGTTGCCAATACAAAGACAGGCAGAACAATTTTAAGCAGTTTTAAAGATTAAAAAAATATTTTATGAAAGTTTGACCTTTTGACCTTAAAGAAGAGGTCAGAGGTCCAAATGTGATATTTAGAATCCTCATATACTGTTCCCTGTATACACCTATATGTTGCCAATACAAACAACTGCAGTAAGAAACATAGTTTTAAATAGTTCTATATAGCATTATTCTCACTTTGATGAACACTGTACTGCCTGTGTAGCTTTATTAGGTTTTATACAGTAAAGTGATATTGTGATCGAATATGCTAAAAAAAGATTTGGTTTTATATTGAAGATGATCATAACTTGTCCATTTAAAACAAAGTCTAAATCCCAAACTAGAGCCTTATGAATAAAATGGCTGAAATTTCTGAACATTTAACACAATATGCCTGTGAAAGTCCTTGAATTAAAGTACCTTGATTGTTTGATTTAACGTCAGCTATGATAGTGTACGGAGGCAAAATTAACAAATTACCCCCCCAACCCACTATTGTTAAAAAAAATGCACCAAATTGGATAATATCTGAAAACCAATGCTTGGAATAACAAATCAAATCAAACGCAGTACCCAATGATGGTGTAACGTACAGGCTCTTTCATTTTCACCCCTTATAAATAGAACATGCTTGCGTAACAGGCGGTTTAAGATGAATTGTACTGAAAGAGTGCTTCCTTCCTTAAATAAAATCATGAAAACATGTAGTAGGCAAGTCCAGATCAATGCAATAATTGCTGGTTCAACTGTGGAGCCTTGCAGAGCCTTGCTGACACGCTAACACAGATAAGTGCAAACATGTGACTCCACGTTCGCATGAAGACAGGTGTAAAGGTGAACCAGGTGAAAAGGTACCTGGAGCTCCAACAGAGGGAAAGGTTACTGTTGGGGATGAGCAGTAATCAGTGTTTTTCCTGATGTTTGTAAAGTCTGCTCTGTCCTGTGTATTTTTTGCTGAATGTAAATAAAACGTTATCGTGTAACCCTTTCACACAGTCTTTATAGCTCAGACATTTTCAGTAACACAGTGTAAACACACTCCTTGTGAACATGAAGGAAACCCTTTTGCCACACATTCGGTCGTTGCGCAAACAGCTGGCAGAGTCACAGCTGATGCCATAAATGGACAGCATGAGCGCCGATCCTGAGTCAAGGTCAGAGTGTTAAGCTCTATTTAAAAATCACCTCTCAGACGCACCCAATGACTTTAATACACAACTCTTCATCATATTTTATGTTTCAGAGTTCAGTCTCTGGCTTGGAACTGAGTCACTTTGGCTCTTTTCATCTTTCCATATCCCAGACTTTAAAATATAATTTAAAAAATGTACATTTCAAAGTCTTTCTATGACTAGAGGCCAGCTATTTGATCCAGCTCACCAACAAGTTGTGATCAGTTGACAGTTCTGCTCCTCTCTTCACAAGAGTGTCCAAGATATACGGCGATTACATGATTCAATTACAAAATCAGAGATTAGGCTACCTGGTGTTAGGTCCACTTATGGACACCTTTATGCTCAGACTTGGTGCTCATTATGGACCAACTGTGGTTAGCACTGAAGTTCAGGAACAGAACCTCACTTGGGTTCAGACTGGGCACACTGTTCCTCCCAATCAAACCATTCAAGTTTAACTGTCATTCCAAAAAAGAGATGTTTTTGTATCCAGCAATGGAGTCACTTCCCAGGGCACGTTCCAGCTTGAGTCCAACCCTGTTCAGAACTCAAGCTGACAATTGAACCAAGGCCCACAATACCTGGTTTCTCCTAACCTCATACACTAGCTCAGGTTAGTGAGTTAAGTGACCCTTTGTCCCTGAAGCCAGTTTGGGAAACCTGTGATCTGACTGCTGCACATTCTACATTGCATCAAACAGCCCCTCCTCTTGATGGTTGGCCCACAGGAAAGCAGGTCCATTCAGTGGTTCCAGGCTGGGCCTCTCCTGGTGCCACGGGCTAAGGCCCAGCCAATTCTTCTCTTTTATTGGATAGTGTAGCAGTGAGGAAACTGGAGAGAAAGAGCGAGGAAAGGCATGCAGCAAAGGGCCACAGGTCAGACTCAAACTGCGCTGCTGCACTCCAGCCATGTGGCATGTGGTTACCTGTTCACCCACTGAGTTAAGTGGCACCCAGGCCGCTCAGAGCGCAGTTTGTGAGGATTACCCTTCGTGCATGAGTTGATATCCCAGTGTTGGTGTTGTTTCTACATCATCATAATAATGTTGGTCCAAGATCAGCATAGCAACTGACCAGTGAAGTTGAAGCTGGTTGGACGGCCTGAGGATGTCATGTCTCCTTTTTTGCAGATATGATTTTTTTTGCCTTCATCAAGAGATGACTTCCAGCTTGCACTTGGGAGGTTTGCAGCTTAGTGTGAAGAAGTAATGAGATGTAGCATCTCCAAGTCTGAAGCCATTGTTGTAACTCAGAAAAGGGTGGTGTGCCCACTCTGGGCTTGGTATTAGTTGCTGCCCCAAGTGGAGGAGTTAAATAATCACTGAGTCCTGTTTATGAGTGAGGGGAGATGCTGACAGGTAAAGACAAACTGGTGCCATGTCAGGAGTAATGCAGACAGCATACTCAGCTGTTTTTAGGAAGACAGAGCAGAGCGTGAAAGCAAAGCTGTTGATTAGTGGTCAGTCTACATTCCTCACCTATGGCTGTAAACTGTGAATAACAACCAAAATAATTAAGTGCAAAGAGCTTAATACCAAGGATGTATGGGCTGGTCTTCACAGACAAGGTGAGGAGCTTTGTCATTCAGGAGGGACTCAAGAGTAAAGCAAACACTCCTTGAAATAAGCCTGTTAGGGTGGTTCAGGCATCAAACTAGGAAAGACATGTCCAAAACTGGGTGTTTTGGACATGTCTTACCAGAAGAGCCCTGAGGCAGATGTAAGGCATGCTGGACAGATAACATCTCTCTTCTTGAAGAGCTGCAGGTGGTGGATGGAAAGAGAGATTGCTGAGGTTGTACTGCAGTGCCTGTGTGTGGTATACTCTGTAGCTATAAGATGTGGCACACATATTACTCTACATTACAAAATAAAGCTTTTGCCTACATTATCTTCCAACAAATCTACAAGAACAAATCAATATTGCTACAGAATATTTTAAAAAGTGGATTACACCACTCTGAGCAGATTTTAAGGGTACATTAATTTTTAGCCCATGAATTTGAAACAGGACGTCCCTGAGCCCACGTGTTGTGTAACAGGCAGTTTAAAGTGACTTAAAATGTCCTTTCTTGTCATTATAAAGCCCTGAAAACAAAAGAAAAGAGCCCAGACTGAAGCAGTAAAAACCAGTTTAACAGAACCTGACACAGGTAAGCACAAGCGTGTGACTCAACATTCACATGATTGCAGGTGTAAAGGTGAACCAGGTGAAAAGGCACCCAGAGCTCCAACAGAGGGAAAGGCTACTCTCGGTCTGTGTATTTGCTTAAAAGGATTTAACATTGAAGAAAAAACTAGATGATTTTTCTTCGTAGAATCAACTTTAATATCTAAAAGAAACTCTTTTCTTCTTTAATCTTTAATATAAAAATGTCTGCACTGCTTTATGACACTAAAGAATTTGTCCATCCCTGGATCATGAGCAATAATCAGTGTTCTTCATGATAAGATCGGTCTTGCTGTTTTTTCTTTTTGCTGAATGCAAATAAAACATTATAATGTGGCGCCGACACATTCAGTTACAGTGTAATTGAAATCCTCGTGAACATGAATGAAAACCTTTTGCCACACATTCGATCACTGAGCAAACAGCAGCTGACGCCGTACACAGACAGCACGAGCTCTGATCCAGAGCGTTAAGCTTCATTTAAAGTGGCTTCACAGACAAACCCATCAAACTCTGTCAAAGCTTTAATAAAAAACTCAGCGTCATGTTTTATGTGTTTCAGATGCAGATGTGAATGAGCCAGTGTCAAAGATAAAAAGAGGCACGGAAGTCTCTTTCCCAGTTCCTGTCTTTTTGCTCTTTTTTCCTACTTTCTTCCTTCCTCTGTCCTTTCATTCCAATCCTCACTTTGTCCATAGATGGTGGTTTCACAGCTTCACAGTCTCTGGCTTGGAAGTGAGTCACTTTGGCTCTTTTCATCTGTCCGTATCCCAGACCCTTCTGGTCTCTCTTCAGCACAGTAGGCACTGGCTGTTTGGGCCCCTCTCCCTGTGGCCCCAGTCCTGTTCCTGGTTTCCAGCCACAACGAACCATCATCTTGAAGCTGTTGCTGGAGGGGGGGAGGCAGTAGTAAGGCGTCGGTGGAGGGCGTCGCAGATTGAACTGATGCAGGGTGGAGGAGAGATGTGACAGCAGGCTGCTGCTGTGCTCGCTACGACACACGTCGCACCACTGAGGCTGGAGGGAACTGAGGATAGATGAAAAAAGACAACATGAGCCCGAAAAGAAACATGAAAGAGCCACAAACTGACTTCTTCTCCAAGTGTGTGTAAACAACAGCAGAGATTTTACCTGCTTATCTCACTCGTGTTTGTGCTCATTCGAAATCTGTTGATCTGACCTCACAATGTGATCCTGATGTTGGTGAATGTTGGCAAATATCACTGCTGTATTATTCAGCATTATTTGATTTTTTTATGGTAATTCACTCTGATTTGATTCCATGATCTCTGTGGTTAAAGTCCAGCCTTACCAGGAAGTTTGTTTAGCTCACTGCTGTGTATGCCCTCACATCTGTGAACACACCCACACAGTGAGGAGGGCAAAAGGACTGCTGTTATCATATATAGCGGCAGTGCTAAATGCACTAAGATGAACTCTTGTTGCACAATTTGACACCAATAAGCGCTGATCCTTCTCCTGACTGTAAAATGTCAAAAGTAGAAATTATGTAGTAATTTCTGCTTCACCATCACCAGAGCTCAAGCTTTTTAATACGAGATTTAAACCCAGACACGATCAACGATCCAAAAGGCACCAGGCAGTGTCTCTGTCGGATGGATTAAAACTCCTGTACCATTAAATGTTTCTCACCATAGATTTTGAATCAAGGATTTTTCATTGATCGCTTGGAAAAATTTGTGTCATTAGATTATCAATAAACAAACATCTCTATTATACAGAGTAGTTCCCTCTGCTGGGCGTTATATGTGAGGAAGGCCAACTTTAGAGAAAGTTTAAGCTGGGTGTCACGACATTATCTGAAATTCATGTGTGAAAACGGCTCGTGTGTACCCTATTCCTCAGATATGAATGGTTTAGATAGATATTGTAAAGCCTGAATGATTTTACTGTGTGGTTATATTTAGATTAGAACTGTGTACCAATGAGAGTGTGCACACCTGCTATCAGACGGTGTGTCTCTCTTTGGTCTTCTCCCGTAGCTCAACAGCTCCTCCAACACGTCATTGTGACCAGCTGTGAAAAGAAATGAATAAGTTCAGTTCAAGGTCTTTATAGTCATCTTAAAACTTGGAGCCATGAAACTGAAAAAGACATAAAAACTCACTAAATCAACATTATGTTATTGCAAAATGAACTATGTTTTAATCTTTGTTAGTATAGTCATGTTTGACTACACTACAAGCTTTTATGGTCATCTTTATTTAGACTACAGTGGTGCATTTATGTTGCAAAACTGTCCTGAATTTTTTAAATTTCCACATTATATTGCCTTATAATAACAATAATAATAATAATAAATAAAAAGATTAAAACAGTAAAAGTAATGAAAATTAAACAAACAATTTCAAACAATAAGAAGTAAAAGTGAAACAGCTGAACCAACTGTGAAAGAAAACGGACCTGAATTCAAAACAAAACGTCAAAATGAAATAGGAACAAATACTAAATAGAAAATCCAAAACTACAACAACACTGGCTCAGCTTCACTGCACACACAAACAGGTATCGACCACTAATGATCAGATCTGAGCAAACATCTCAGAGCTGAATAACCGTCAGCTGGCACGTCACTATTTTTCCTTTCCTTAGCAACCAGTTTTGACCTGGGAGATGACTTCAGGGTTTCAACCATGTTTGTTGGTTATACCTTCCAGTGCCAGGTCTTTGGCATCCCTCCCCTTTGTGTCAACCACTCCGACCCAGGCCGCTCCGTGCTGCAGCAGAAGTCTCACAGCAGATCTTTGCCCTGACCAGCTTGCACACATTACAGCTGTCCAGAAGAAAGTATCCTGCAAGGGTGGAAAAAACAATACACTCTTTAAGCAAAATGTATCATTTCCCCAAATGAAACAGAATCTTCATTATCATACCTGGTAGTTGATGTCGACCCCCTTTGAGAGGACCTCTTTGAGCCCAGGGATGTCTCCCTCATGGGCAAAGCGCAGTAGCCGCAGACACAGCAGCTCCATGGTTCTTTCTGAGTGGTCAGTCTCTGATTGACTCCCTCCACTCTGACCCTGCTGTGCTTCCACAGCTCTCACCCTCCTCATCGCTCTTCTCCTGGACTCTCTACTCTCCTGTCTAGTCTGACCTTTTGATCCATCTCCCCCTTTCTCATCTTTCGTTAAGCTTTCGTAGAAACGCTTGGCCTCTTCCCCGCTGAGTCCGCTGCTTGTTTTTGAGCTGGACTGTTCCGCTTCAAAACTAAAAAGATCCTGCTCTCTGGCAGGAGTAAAGCCGAAAGCAGCCATAAGGAGTGACCGTAGCGTCAGGTATCTCAGACAGGACGTTTTGTAGTTACGTGAAAGAAGCAGATCTTAAAGTCAGCGGTGTTTATATCTAACTGAGATATAAATGAGATGTTAGCCAACATTGCAGTTTCCAAAAGACAGTTCACATGCTGGTACTGGATTTAGCCACATATTACATTTAACATTATACTTATAACTACCAGCCTCACAACGCTAGGTAGCATACCATAAGAGGGTAGCTAGTTAGCATCTTAGCATCAGTAGCTAAACATTAGACATACGATCGTTTCAGATTACCAACAAGATTCAGTCACCCCAAAGTCTCCTTAAAGCTCGTTTATGATGAAGATATAATATAACCTAGAGCCAAGTGTTAAACAGCCGATTACATTAAAAATTCTCGAGTCGATTCGATAACAGGAAGGAGCTTCAAAATAATGTCCTTATTTCCGTGGAAAAACAAGTGTGAATAACAGTGAGTGCTGCCACCTACCGTCTACTCCTTTACACTGCACCCTTTGATTTTTT